TCAGTCCGTTCTGTGTTGCTGTAACAAAACACCGCAGACCAGGTGCTGTGGTTTGGATATGGTTTGTTTGTCCCCCCCAAAACTCGTGCTGAAGCCGGATCCCCAGTGTGGCAGTGCTGGGAGGTGGGTCTCCGTGGGAGGGGTTAGGGTCATGGGGGTGGATCCCTCACGAATAGATGAGTGTCCTCTGAAGCCCCCTCCTGCTGGGGTGAGGCAGTGACCACTCTCACAGAAATGGATTCTGTGTCAGGAGAGCAGGTTGTTAGAAACAGTGTCCCTTCCTCAGTTTCCCTCTCTGGCTTCGTCTCGCCATGTGATCTCTTGGCACACACCGGCTCCCCTTCCACTTTCTGACATGAGCTGAAGCAGCCCAAGGCTGTGAGGAGGTACAGATGCTCAATCTGAACGTGCCAGCCACCAGAACCGTGAGCCAGAGAAACCCGTTTTCATTATGTATTACCCAGTCTCCAGTGTTCTGTTCCAACAACGCAAAATAGACGAAGACACTGGGTAATTTACAAAGAAGAGAAATTTATTTCTCATACTTCTGGATGCCGGGAAGACTGAGATCAAGGGAGCGGCTTCTGGTGTCTGGCGAGGGCCTTCTTGCTGCTTCCTCCCATGGGAGAAGGTGGAAGGACGAGTGGGGATAAACGTCGTGTCCTCACAGGGCAGAAGAGGGAAAGACAGGGCACGCCCACTCCTCCCAGCCCTTAACGTAAGCGGCATTGATCCCTTCATGAGGGCACCACCCTCATGCCTTAAGCACCTGCTGGTAGGCCACACCTCCCGACACTGTCACATCAGGCATTAGCTTTCAACATGAGTTTTGGAGGGGACAAAAATATTCAAACCATAGCAGATATACGTAGACATGTCAGAGATGAGGTGATTGATCCAACTATGAGGCACGAGTTGCCGGGAGATGAGAAGAGTGACAAGAAGCTGGGTCGGAGAATGTGGACGTGGGGGGCTTTGCTGAGGGAGGTCATAGCTGCAGAGTGCCCCCTGGTCTGCGAGAGGATGCCTGGAGAGTGGCTGG